ACCCTAGATAATCGAAGGGCATCAAGGAGGCAGAGCTCTTGGAGATCCAGTGTCTTAGCAGGGATGATCCGATCATACCATTCTTGCCATTCCGGTCTTATTGTGGGCCAGCATCGATGAGGACGATTGCTTTTCCAGTTCTTCCAGTCAAGGCCACCTTCATAGAGGAGACGTTGGTCCACCAGACGTGGATAAAAGGTTGGGAGCTCAGTAAGGACTTCCTTGAAAATTGGCCCGAGCACGTAGTTCTGCTGCTCATGATGACGAGGGACGAAGATACGCCCATCGATAGCGCTTTTCTCTCCAGCCTTGTACTTCTCACATTCTGCGTCAATAAGCCTTTTCAAAGCTAAAGATGAGCCTACGTGCTCTGGGGCTGGCACCTTTTGTGAAGAAGAAGCCATTGATGATACACTCTTCAGAAGATGAAGACCAAAGCAAAGAGGAACCAGTAGAGAGAAGGGTTTGTAAAAGATAAGAGATTTCGGAACACGAAACGAGAGGGTTTTAAAACCTTGGTGTCCGAAATTATACCCCGTAAGCCGTTAAGTACTAACAATACGAATGCGAGGAATTTCTTCCAAATTGGTAGTTTTGGAGGGAAGAGCTTATTCCGGGGATTAGGGCCAGCTTCGAAATGAAATATTTGGCTTCGAAAACAAGATCTTGGCGTTAAAAAAAAAAAAAAATCAAATAACAACGGCTTCGAAATACATAAGTCAGCTTCGAAGCCTAGTATATTGACAACATTCGAAGCAAGCCCTAGGACTCTTTAAGGAATGAAATATTTGGCTTCGAAAACAAGATCTTGGCGTCAAAAAATCAAATAACAACGGCTTCGAAATACATAAGTCAGCTTCGAAGCCTAGTATATGCTTAAAGGTGCTATATTGCTTGATTATGGGTCTGTTTAGGAGTTATAAATCAAAGTGACCTTTGGAGCAAACCCTAGTATTCTCTGAGTATGAGAAGCGCTGTTCAGAGCATACTACATGCTTAAAAATGCCTGAATGCTCAAAGTATTGGTCTACTTCAAAAATCCAAAGACCCGTTTGAAGGTTATCAGTCAAAATGACAACATTCGAAGCAAACCCTAGGACTCTTTAAGGAAGAGGGGCACTGTTCGAAACATCCAAGACCAATCATTGGTTTCTGTATGAGCAAGAGGGAATTGCCATAGGTTGCCCTTCGAAGCCAAAAGAGATCAGTTTAAAATTGATTGGCTATATCAACCATGACCATATATTGGTCATAGTTAGTGTGGAAAAAGTAAAGTCATTGAAATCGATGTACTAAAATAATATCTGCCAGAATTGTCAATTTTACTCCATGAATTGGAAAAAGACATGATTGGTTCTTTTAGTACTTCATTAAACAGTTGATTCGAAGGATGAGATGGTTCAATTCGAAGTTATGAGTTAGCTTTTAGAGATGAAAGGAAACAGAGTCAAACAGTGTTAAGTACAGAAAGACTTTGTTTATATTAAAGCCAAGATGATTACATTAAGTAACCCTATCTGGGTACAAATTCAAGCTCATAAAAATAAGGAATAGAATAAATAACAAGGTCATGAAATTTTGTCCAGCAATGGTCAATAAATTTCTGTTCTTTCTTTATTATTTCTTCTATCTCTTCTAAAGTTGATTGCATAAGCTGATGAGCTCTCACTTCATAAGCTGATGAGCTCTCACTTCATAAGCTGATGAGCTCTCACTTCATAATAAAGTTGATTGTAGAAATTGCATCAGGACTAGGTGAATTGAAACCTATCATTTAAATTATGTCATTGAATATGACGGTATGATTGAAACATTTAAAATGTGTTGTGGATAGTCATTGTATATGACGATGTTTTAATACATTGTATATGTATAATTGTTTGATAGAAGAGAGGGAATGTACTCCATTGTTTGGAAGGAGATAGGGGATGGACTCCATCAATTCATTTCCAATTCATATATGCTACTCAATTCATGAGTTAAATTCATTATCTTTCAACAACCAAAATGAGACTACAACTCAATGGTTCCCAAGTATGCAAGCACACATAAGCACTTCAAATCTTCCATTTTATAGAAATTTCGTTCGAAGGAATCGACACCCATGTATATTTTCTCAAATAAGCCATTTTACGGATATTTCGTCCGCGGGAATCGGCACCCATGTATATTTTCTGAAATATGCCATTTTACGGAAATTTCGTCTGTGGGATTCGGCACCCATGTATATTTTCTGAAATATGCCATTTAACGGAAATTTCGTCCACGGGATTCGGCACCCATGTATATATTTTCTGAAATATGCCATTTTACGAAAATTTCGTCCGCGGGAGTTGGCACCCATGTATATTTTTTGAAATATGCCATTTTATGGAAATTTCGTCCGCGGGATTCGGCGCCCATGTATATTTTCTGAAATATGCCATTTTACGAAAATTTCGTCCGCGAGATTCGGCACCCATGTATATATATGATTTCGGGTCTTTCACCCAGGACACTCCGGCCAGCTTGCTTTACATGGAGTTCATCCTCTTTCTCCTCCCAAACAAATATACATATGCAATGTATTTATAAGCATAATCATATATGGAGTACATCTCCTATCTTCTCCCAATAAACATACATATACAATATATTTAACCGCATTATCATATACAATGATCAATTATAGCACATATTTAATGTGTTAATCCAACCGTCATATTCAATGACATAATTCAGTTGATTAGTTTCAATTTACCTAATCATCATGCAGTTCTACAACAATCATGGCTATCCTCCACCGACAGCCCAATACATTTATCTCTAGACATATATTAAATCTCAAGATAAATAATTATTTAAAACTTCCAAAGGTGTGAGATAATACAACCATATCCATATTCTTATAGTCTCCACATGCTAATCAATATTCCCAATTTTGTCATTTCAAGACAAATTTACAACATATTATATATCTGTTGGCTACATATTTTGTAAAAGCCAGTTACAGTTCGACACGTGGCAGAGTAAGGGTAATAAAGGGAGGTTATTCAAGCCTTTAATCCTGATCGTACACGTGGCAATAAATATTGGTCCTCACATGATCTGAGTAACACTAGATCAATAACGGATGCAAGATGACATATCTTCAACGGTTACTCATATTCAAATTCAAGTACAAGAGGGAAACTCAACTGCCAGTAATGGCGTAATGGAGTTACTTGTAAGGGAGCATGATCAGCGATCATGGAGGAGCAGTTCGACGGTTCGAAGTGCAGTTCGAAGGTCATCACTGACGAGTATAAATAGCAGGGCAGCCCCCAGAAAAAAAGGGGACTCAGATCATACAAATCAGTCATTTACTTCATATATTTTCTTTTCTAGTCTTTTACATTTCCAGTCTTTAAATACCTGTTCTTTAAATACCTGCACTTTAAATACCCGCACTGCATTTCGATTCATAGGAGTAGCTTCAAGTAGATTCAAGTAGATTGCTGTTGTAAACCTCTCCGAGGCTGAGTTCGGACCATTGTAAGTGTTCATTTTTATGAAATACTTCAATTGTTCTTCATATTACTGTCTTCTCTCTTAATTTCTCCTAAGTCAAGCCAACAGTAAAAGTCCTCTTCATTGAGGCTGAAAAGAACTAAAACACAATCGTCTGATAATTGGTTGCAATCACAATTTCTGTAAGGACTGATTGATCCTTGCTGGCACGCTCACATTTACACAATTACCCTTCGAAAAGCCAAAAAGCCAACAACACCATTACCAAAACTCAGTTCATTACAGTTGATAGTAACACCACCATTGTTTCACCTAGTGAAAGTTTGAAATGGGGTTTTTCAGCCCTGGCAAATCCAACAATCGCTATTTGGGACTATGGTACAAAAAAATTTCCACTGGAACTGTGGTATGGGTTGCCAACAGAGAAAACCCACTTCCTAATTCCTCTGGAGTCCTGAAACTTATCGACCCAGGAATCCTCGTCTTTCTCAATTCCACCAACAACACCGTATGGTCCACCAACACCTCTCGATCCACAGGAAACCCAGTTACGAGACTACTCGATATGGGAAATCTTATCATCCAAGACCCAAACGATCACAACCCAGAAAATTTTCTCTGGCAGAGCTTCGATTACCCTTGTGATACTCTGCGTGCTTGCACAATTGCACTTGTATGGCATATGCAGCATTGAATATAAGTAGTGGAGAAGGAAGTGGCTGCTTGCTTTGGTTTGGTGACCTGATTGACATTAAAGAAGATTTCACTGAAAATGGGCAAGACCTCTGCATAAGGATGGCCTCCTCTGACTTAGAGCATCTCCAATCCATTAGGCATATCATGTTTGTTAGTCAAAATGCCTAGTATAACTTATTTTTTTCAACTCCAATGCACTAGGCATATGATTAGACATTTTAGCTCAACTCACATTCACTAGCTACATGTAGCTAGCCTTCAAGACTAGGCAAAATATATTTAATCATTAGAATCATTTCCCTCCATCTTTGTTGCTGATGTGGCATTTTATAAAATTAATAGTATTTAGATGAATAGCTAAAATAAAGAGCATGGTTGGAGTAGAAATATGAAATAGTTGATAGGCAAAATAAAATATATACTTTATAGTAATATTTAGATAGGTAAAATGCCTATTACCGTTGGAAATGCTCTTAGGTATGACATTATATATTAGCAGCGGAGTCAGGGTATGTGTAGAGGTCCAGCGGGCGGCCAAGGCGAGGCTGCCGCCCGCCGGTGAAGCAGAATAACTAGGTTGTTAACCTAGCTCTGATACCATGTAAGATAAATTGATAGAGAGAGAAAATAAATTATGTATATATTGATATATGTTGTATTTTATACAATGGTTCAGGGGCTCTTTATAAAGGAGAAGTTTACAAACAATGCACCCAAAAGCAACCGAAAGCAAAGACACCATGATTACAGCTTGGACACTTTACAGCTAATAACACTAACAGCTAATAACATAATACATTAACAGTTATATTTGTCTCCAATAAGTTATTGAAAAGTGTAGCAGACTTGCAATCTTTCCATTTCCAACTCTCCTATGAGTCAGCTTGTAGGAAAGAAATCAGACAATTAAGCAGCATATATATAATATTTTGTTACTTGTATTGTTGTCCTTTAACTTTTATGAAGCAACTAACATCATAAATTGCAAGACATTATTGTATCTTTCAGTACTAAACAGAATATTTTCACTATGTGGCAAAAACAATCCTTCTAAATTTGCACTTATATGATTTTACCTTTGAGATGAATTAATCTCTTCAATTGGATAGTATAATTGACAATTTCCAAAGCTAGGTCTGAGGGGAAGAAAGGAGAGAAAATCAGGATCAGCTTGGCATTATTAATGGAAATGGGCCTGTTAATCTTTTGTCTCATCTTTTATGTGTGGAGAAAGAAGCAGAAGCAGCAGATAAAGAGAAAAAGTAACTCAAATGACACATTCTGTGGCAAACTTTGTGTGTGTGCATGCGTGCTTGTGTGTTTCTAAAAAAAGTATCATTGCATATCTCTACCTAGTTAAACAGGTTCTTTTATTCAAATTCACTCTATCTGCTATTGTACAGGAACAATGAGAGATATCTTTAAACAAGGTTGCAACAATGAAAGCCAGAAGCAAGACTTAGAGCTACCACTGTTTGATTTAGCTACAATAATGAATGCTACCAGTAACTTTTCAGCAAGCAATAAGCTTGGAGAGGGGGGTTTTGGCACTGTCTACAAGGTAAGCATTTAAATAAACTCTATGTAATTATTGTCAAAGGTGGTAATTTTTTTAATGCTGATAGAGAGTAACTAATAAAAAAGAAGAAAGACGTAAGGAAAGTAAGAACAAAAGTGCATTTTTGCAAGGGCTGGATATTTGGTTTATAACAATTGCCAATCTTCAGGGTACGCTGGAAGAGAGACAACAAATAGCTGCGAAGAGGCTTTCGAGGAACTCTAGACAAGGAATTGATTAATTCAAGATGAAGTTATATGGATTGCCAAACTCTAGCATCAGAATCTTGTAAAGCTTCTAGGGAGCTGCATTCAAGGAGAAGAGAAGATGTTGATCTATGAATACATGCCTAACAAAAGCTTGGACTCCTTTATTTTTGGTCCGGCTTTGTCAAAACCATAGTAATTTTTAGATCAAAAAGTGTACTACATTTTTCAAGTATTCCATCTACTGGTGTGGTGGTTTGGCACAAAGTTCCTCTAGAATTTGGTTGGACCAAGTTCAAATGGCTGCCTATGTGAGCAGAGAAATGAAGTACCTGCCATCTTGCAATTATTATTGTTATTTTTTAAATAAAAAGTAATTCAAGTGGCTGCCTATGTGAATTTGTTGCCAATCGAATGTTCGTGTATTCAAAGTTAAAAATACTTTTTTACACTCAAATATATAAACACAGTTAACTTAGTCAAAGATATGCAGATCCAATCCGAAGCACCATACTTGATTGGCCAAAGCGCTTTCACATTATCAATGGAATTGCTCAAGCATTTCTTTTTCTTTATCTTTATCAAGATTCAAGACTAAGAATTATCCACAGGGATCTCAAAGTTAGCAATGTTTTGTTAGATATTGTCATGAACCCAAAGATATCAGACTTCGGCATGGCTAGAAGTTTCAAAGGAGATGAGACAGAAGCAAACACAAATAGAGTGGTTGGAACATAGTACGAATCTCTATTGTAACTTGATATGTGTAATTTGTAATGCACTTATTATCGTCCTAAATTTCTCAATTTGTTCGATGTCTTATTGCAGTGACTACATGTCTCCAAAATATGCGGTTGATGGATATTTCTCAGTAAAGTCAGATATATTCAGCTTTGGTGTTTTGGTTTTGGAGATTATGAGCGGGAAGAGAAACAAATCCGGATCATAACCTCAACCTTCTTAGACATGTAAAAATCAAGGCTGGTAATACTATTTTGATATTTACATTAAATTAAAAGCAGTAGTCCTAATTTGTTTGCTTCTTGTTTAGGCATGGATGGTGTATAAAGAGGGCAAGTCCTTTGATTTGCTTGATGAAGTTGTAAGGGACTCTTGTCATGTACATGAAGTGTTGAGATCAATTCATGCGTGTCTATTGTGTGTGCGACAAAGTCCAAAAGATAGGTCAACCATGCCACGACCCGAACCCGCCCCCATGGGTTAAGAACGTAACCGGCCAGTAACCCTAAGATTACCTACGGCCTCAACCAAAACAGACTTAAGACATCAGAGTAAAGGGGGCCAAAAGGGAAGCAAAATTTAAAAACTTTGTCCATAGAGCCATGCTTATATGCACATCAACAGACCATATTCAGTCACGTTAATAACCCACGTCAAAAGTACAGTTTCGCCAAATCCATTACAGACAGGATCATCCAAAACGAGTCAACCTATGGCAGACTAATTACAGATATACATAAAGTCCTTGCCGGCAAGACAAAATATAATTACATAACAAAAAGGCAAGGGCAGGTCTCAAGAGTGAGACGCAAGGCTGACTTCCTCAAAACTCGGATTTTTCCTAGCAGACTTCATTGGGGCTGGGTTTGGACTTCCCTTGGCTCACCTACAAACACATGAATGAGCGTGAGCGATAGCCCAGTGAATAATATCAAACACAGAAGTCATATAAACAATATGTACATTATACGGAGTCTAGATCAAGTGACTGTAGTTCTAACATGTTGGCCTTTGGCCCATTCTGATTTGCATCTACGTCAAAACGGCCTTTGGCCCACTCATTCATGTCAAAACGGCCTTTGACCCATCCATTTATGTCAAAACGGCCTTTGGCCCATTCATTTACATCAAAATGGCCTTTGGCCCATTCATTTATATCAAAACGGCCTTTGGCCCATTCATTTATATCAAAACGGCCTTTGGCCCATTCATTTACATCAAAATGGCCTTTGGCCCATTCATGCATTCATATCGGACTTACGTCCACAATCCCAATTAGCAGTTCATAAAGCTTAAACATGGGGTAGCCAATTGGACATTCACATGCATTCAAATATTCAAATATCGATATTACTCACAGTGATCGGCTTGTGGATTTGCCCTGGAGCTTGACCCTACACATTTCATGAACACAAGAGGGTCACTAACAGTTCAGTCCATTCTTTAATTCTCGTATTCCTCTTTAGGCTTTATTCTTATCTCATTAACTCATTTACGCCATTTAACACATGCCTAAGAGTGATTACAAGTGAAACAGAACGGAAAACGAAACACAGAATGCATCAACGAAATTTCAGAAAACAGGGTCCCCGCTCGAGCGTGGACTTACCCTCTCGAGCAGACCCTTAAGGCCTGCAAAAGTACTGGTTGCATGAAAAATACGCTCGAGCGTTAAATAGGGCGCTCGAGCGGAAGGCCTGTCAAAATAGCTCCCACGCTCGAGCGTCAACTTCCCCGCACGAGCGGACCCTTAAGGCCTGCAAAACAGTTGGTGGGTCAGTCTACTCTTCCGCAACTTCATCCCTTGCAACTGTAGGTCGAAAAAGATCTCGAAGCTGGGCAAATGCCGCTTCTCAAAATTTAGCCATGGCTATGGAAAGCCACAAAACGAAAAATCTTTCCCCTCCCGGAGAAAGGGGCCGTTCAGGGTTCCTTCGATAGGTCTATGCATTGCATGTGTTTGGATCAAACGTTAATCCAAACACAAACCTTCATTCTCGTCTCATATGATGAAAAGATGGTCAAATACATGGATTTCAACCAAAATTGCAACATGAGTCATGTGATTCAAGCTCAAATATGCAAATTCAAAACAATACATACATGCATGCATATATATAGTCTTCAAATTCATCAAAACCAACTCCTTCCATGTTCTTTAACATTCTTTCAACTTTGAACTTACAAATTACAAACAAGAGTCCATGAATTCACTTACCTAAGAGCTTCAACCCTCAAACTCTAGCCAAATATTGAGCTAGATCTTCAAATTCCCAAGTCTTGAGCCCAAATCACATAAGTCTCTCCCTTTCTCTCTCTACAACCGGCCCTCTCTTCTCTTCCTTGAGTTTAATATCAGTCAAAATGAGACTAGGGAGGGAGAGATTGAGTGTTTAAAGCTTGACAACAAAATCCACTAAGGCCAAGATTATAATAATAGAATAGTTGGGTTCTAATTCATCAATTTAATCGGTTTAATCTAACCCAAATCAATTTTCAATTAAATTTCACCGTAGGCTCTAAAAATTATGCCTATCACAATGGCGTAATCAATTTCGGGTTCCGTAGCCGATAAGGCCTCCAATTTAATTTCCGAAGCGGTAAAATCAAACAGATATTCCTACAGTGAACAGATAGAAATTCAAAACCACATATTTTCACATAATGGCATACAAAACCATAACAAACACATAATCGTATACACATTAAGGACCAATTAGCATAATACAGAACAGGGGTGTCACAGTCTTCCCCCCTTTAGAAAGTTTGGTCCTCCAAACTTAAGTTACCTTTGTCAGGAAACAAATGTGGATAGCGTAGACGCATTTCCTCCTCTTTTTCCCAGGTAGCATCTGTCCCATAGTGTTCCTTCCATTCTACTTTCACCATTGGGATGGACTTGTTTCTCAATTCTTTCACTTGTCGGTCAACAATTCTTACCGGCCATTCAGCGTATTCCATATTCTCATCAATAGCTACCCGATGATAATCAATCACATGTAACAGGTCTCGGAGGTAACCTCTCAACATCGACACATGAAACACGTTATGGATTTGCTCGAATCCCGGTGGCAAGGCGACTCTATAAGCAACTGAACCAAGCCTCTCCAAAATTTGAAACGGCCCAATGTAACGGGGCGACAACTTGCCCTTTTTCCCAAACCTGACTTGGCCTTTCATCGGAGAAACTCGGATGAACACATGGTCGCCGACCTCATATTCAAGAGGTCTTCTCCGAACGTCTGCATAATTCTTCTATCGGTCTTGAGCTGTTTTGAGCATTTGTCGAATAGTTTTGATCTTTTCAGAGGTGTCTTGTACAATTTCAGGCCCAAGCAAAGCTCTGTCTCCGACCTCTGTCCAACAAATAGGTGATCTACACCTCCTACCATACAAGCCTCGTATGGTGCCATACCGATACTGGAGTGGAAGCTGTTATTATAAGCAAACTCTGCAAGCGGCAAATAATCTTCCCAACTCCCCTGAAAATCCAAAGCACACATGCGAAGCATATCTTCCAAAGTCTGTATCGTTCGTTCTGACTGCCCATCTGTCTGTGGGTGGAATGCAGTGCTGAACCTTAATTATGTTCCCATGGCTTTCTGCAAACTCTTCCACAGTCTAGATACAAATTTCGGATCTCTATCCGACACAATGGACACCGGAACTCCGTGTAAACGGACAATTTCATCAACATAAATAGTAGTCAGCCTGTAAGCAGTGAATGTAGTTTTGACAGGTAGAAAATGTGCAGATTTAGTCAGTCTATCAACTACAACCCAAACAGAATCCATACCTCGGGAAGTCCGAGGTAGGCCAACAACAAAATCCATAGTCACATGTTCCCACTTCCATTCAGGAATAGGGAGAGGTTGAAGTAGGCCGCCTGGTTTCTGGTGTTCAGCCTTAACTTGCTGACACTGAAGGCACTTGGACACATATTCCGCTATCTCTTTCTTCATTTTAGGCCACCAATAGGTTTGTTTCAAATCCCGATACATTTTATTGTTACCCGGATGCATAGCAAATACGGATCTGTGGGCTTCATCCAAAACCCTCTTCTTTAGTTTCGGGATATCAGGGACACATATTCTGTTCTGGAATTTCAACACTTCATTCTCAATACTAAATTCTGCTTTTGGACTTGTCTCAAATTCATCCATTACCTTTCTGAGGAACTCATCCTCTTTCTGTTTCTGCTTGATTTCATCAACAATTACCGGCTCGGCTGTAATAGCGACCATCAATCCACCCTGTTCACATACTACCACTTCAATTTCAGACTTTTCAAAGTCTTGCAAAATCTCCCTTTGTTCAGTAAGCAAACAAGCCACACTCCCTGTTGATTTTCTGCTCAAGGCATCTGCCACTGTATTAGCTTTCCCAAGATGGTACTGAATCTCTAGATCGTAGTCTTTTATCAGTTCTAGCCATCTTCTCTGACGCATATTCAACTCTTTCTGCGTGAAGAAGTATTTCAGGCTCTTATGATCTGTGTAGACTTCACATTTTGCTCCATACAGATGATGCCGCCAAATTTTCAAGGCAAAAACAACTGCGGCCAATTCTAAGTCATGTGTTGGATAGTTCTTTCGTGTGGCCTCAACTGCCTGGAGGCATAAGCAATAACTTTTCCGTTTTGCAATAACACACAACCCAAACCCTTATAAGATGCATCACTGAAAATCACAAAATTCTCCGTACCTGAAGGTAGTGTCAAAATTGGCGCAGTAGTTAATCTCGTCTTCAATTCATGAAAGGCTGATTCTCTTTCGCTATTCCATTCAAATGGTTGTCCCTTACGTGTCAATTGGGTAAGAGGTACTGCTAATTTCGAAAAGTCCTTCACAAACCTCCTATAATACCCAGCTAAGCCCATGAAACTGCGAACTTCTGTCACATTGGTCGGTGCAGGCCAATTCACAATTGCCTCTATCTTCTGCAGATCCACTGAAATTCCTTCCTTGTTGATCACATGCCCTAAGAAGACAACCTCATCCAACCAAAACTCACATTTCTTTAATTTAGCAAATAGTTTTCTTTCTCGAAGTATTTGTAAAACAGTCCTCACATGATGTTCATGTTCAAGTCTGTCTTTAGAGTATATCAAAATATCATCGATGAAAACTACAACAAACTCATCAAGGTAGGTTTTAAAAATTCTATTCATTAGGTCCATAAATGTTGCCGGAGCATTAGTCACTCCAAATGGCATAACAAGAAACTCAAAATGACCATACCTCGTTCTGAATGCGGTTTTCTCAACATCCTCTGCTTTAACCTTCAGCTGATGATACCCGGATCTCAAATCAATCTTAGAAAACACCTGTGATCCCGGCAACTGGTCAAATAAGTCATCAATACGGGGTAAGGGATATTTATTCCTTATCGTTACCTTGTTCAATTCCCGGTAATCAATACATAGGCGTAAGGTACCATCCTTTTTCTTTCCCCAAGGCGAAGTGCTGGGCCGGATAAACCCTTTATTAAGAAGGTCTTGCAACTATTCCTTTAATTCTTTCATTTCGGCGGTAGCCATCCTGTTGGGAGTTTTTGAAATAGGCTGGGTGCCTGGCACAGTCTCAATAGTAAACTCTATCTCCCTGTCTACCAATTCCCCTGGCAATTCATTTGGGAACACATCTGGGAATTCTCTAACAATGGTAATATCATTCAATTCAACATTCACGGATTGTTCAGTCAATACATAACACAAATAACCCTGGCACGCCTTCCTGATCAATTTACATGCTTTCATTGCGGATATCAAATATGGTGGAGGCACTACCCTATTTTCCACAAACACAATCTCTTTCTATCTGGTGGTTTAAACACAACCCTCTTTGTCACACAATCTATAGTGGCACAATATTTGGTCAACCAATCCATGCCCAAAATTACATCGAAGTGTCTAAAGTTTAAGGGCAACAGATCTACATATAGGGTGGCATCCTCAATATGCATGTCACAAAACCGATATATATAGTCACATAACACAGATTCTCCAGATGGAGCAGACACACATAACAAATATGGCAACAATTCTAGGGGTCTTTTCAACCTAGATGCGAATGCATATGTCACAAATGAGTGCATTTATCCAGAATCAATTAACACAAAAGCATCCTGATTACATATTAAGATAGTACCTGAGACAACGGCATTGGCATTCCGTGTATCGCCCGGAACAAGTGCAAAAACTCTCCCCTGTCTCACTGTGTCCCCAGTAGTAGTAGATCCCAAAGTATTTCCCGGCTTTGGAATTGATGCAGTTAAACTAGCTGCGAGTTTCCCCATGTTCTGATTACATTCTCGGGCTATGTGCCCTTGCTTTCCACATTTAAAACAGCCTCCTGACGCACGGTAACAAACCCCACGGTGCCTTTTGCTACATACATTGCACATGGGAGCTGTGTCTCGGGAAGAATTTGAAGTAGTGGAGGAGCCTGTGTTTTGCTTTTTCAGAAATTTCTTCTTCGAAAAGAAGCCTTGTCTCTTGTTGCCTTTCCATTCTGTTACTGGCTTAGCTTGCCTGGCTATGTTAGCCTCTGATATGATGGCTCTGTCAAGCACCCCAATGTAGGTCTCTAATTTCAGGACATTCACCCTTTCTAGGATGTCGTTGCGGAGCCCACCCTCAAAATGTCTTGCCTTCTTATAATCAGTGTCAATCACGTGTGGTGCAAATCTGGCCAACTCAGTGAATTTGGCCTCATACTCCGCTACAGTCATGCTGTCTTGCTTGAGTTCCATGAACTCTGCCACTTTCCTATCCCGGACACACTGCGGAAAGTACTTGTCGTAGAAGATTTCTAAGAATTTCACCCAATCGACATCTCTGTGATTTTCTCTCATCAACATCCACCATCTTCTCGCTTCATCTTCTAGCATAAAAGTGGCTAGAAGTACTTTCTGAGTCTCCGAACAGGGAAACACTTCGAATAACTTCTCAATGCCGAGGACCCACGCTTCGGCTTTCAACGGATCTAATCCCCCGTGAAACTATGGTGGTTTCATTTTCTTGAATTCCTTAGTGAGAGCTATAATCCAGTCATCGTTCTGATGATCTGGCACAGGTGGTGCCGGAGGTGGAGGTGGCGGGTGTGGTTGCTGCCACTGTTGTTGCCACTCCTGTTGCTGTCTCAAAGCTTCTGCCATTTCTTGGATCAATCTTTCCATTCTGTCCAGTCTGGCAGTAAAAGATTCCTCTAACTCATCACCTCTGGTTCTCACCATCTGATTAAACTTGTATTATATTTTACACAAAAGATCCACAAGCGTGCATATACGAAGAAGCGCATAATCTCAGATAATTTGTAGTGCAAGTAATTCACAACTTACACACATAATTGTTCATATCAAACATTTAAGCATATAACCAATGCTTCTAAATTCGAGTTTATGAATGCATCTTAGATCTCATCTAGACGCTTATTGCTCTTTTGGACAAGTGTGTGAGTTATTAACTCGTGCTCTGATACCACTCTGTCACGACCCGAACCCGCCCCCATGGGTTAAGGATGTAACCGGCCAGTAACCCTAAGATTACCTACGGCCTCAACCAAAACAGACTTAAGACATCAGAGTAAAGGAAGCCAAAAGGGAAGCAAAATTTAAAAACTTTGTCCATAGAGCCGTGCTTATATACACATCAACAAACCATATTCAGTCACGTTAATAACCCACGTCAAAAGTACAGTTTCGCCAAATCCATTACAGACAGGATCATCCAAAACGAGTCAACCTATGGCAGACTAATTACAGATATACATAAAGTCCTTGCCGGCAAGACAAAATATAATTACATAACAAAAAGGCAAGGGCAGGTCTCAAGAGTGAGACGCAAGGCTGACTTCCTCAAAACTCGGATTTTTCCTAGCAGACTTCATTGGGGCTGGGTTTGGACTTCCCTTGGCTCACCTACAAACACATGAATGAGCGTGAGCGATAGCCCAGTGAATAATATCAAACACAGCAGCTATATGACAATATGTAGAACAACATGCTCCAAACGGCCCTGGGCCCAATTCATACTTCTAATTAGCAAATATATATGACTATACGAAATGCAATCAAGTAACTGTAGTTCCAACATTCTGGCCTTTGGCCCATTTGGGTTTCCATTCATGGCAAAACGGCCTTCGGCCCATTCACTTATGTCGAAACGGCCTTCAGCCCATTCATTTATGTCAAAATGGCCTTCGGCCCGTTCATTTATGTCAAAACGACCTTCGGTCCATTCGTCATCGTCAAAACGACCTTTGGTCCAAATATTCATTCATGTCAGACCTTTGTCCACAATCCCAATTAGCAACTCATAAAGCTTATAAGGGAATACACAATTGGACATTAATAAGATTTCAAATATTGATATTACTCACAGTGATTGGCTTGTGGATTCGCCCTGGAGCTTGACCCTACACATTCCATGAATACAAAAGGGGCACTAACAGTTCAATTCGTTCTTTTATTCTTATTTTAATTCATGCAAGGGATAACATAATTTCCACATTTCAAACATTTCTAATAACGTAGTCATCTCAAGACCATATCAACACTTTTAAGCAACAATTTCCAAAACCTCATCAATTAACATATTCCATAGAAAATCATCATTTATATGTAATAAATAAATAATTTTTAAACATCATTTATTTTGGCAAATAAAATAAATATAACAACATAATCTAAAGATTTTCAACACCTTCCTTAAAAATCCCCAATTTATGGGTTTTCTCACCAAAACCATTCATTTTCAAATATTTAAGATCTCACCAAAACTTCTTTCTTTCATCAACATAGTTCAAAAACCCCCAATTTCTATCTCAAAGGATCAAATAGTTTTGTACATGTATGTGGGAGATGCTCATCATTCTCAACTTAGATGGTACAAATGGTGATTACAACATGAGTTTCAACCAAAACTCTACATGAATCATGTGTTTCAAGCTCAAACATGCAGATTCAAAGTAATTTCTTACATGCATGAGTTCCAAGACTTCAAACTCAACAAAAATCAACTTATTACATGCTCTTTAACATTCTATCAACTTTGAACTTACAAATTACAAACAAGAGTCCATGAATTCACTTACTTAAGAGCTTCAACCCTCAAGCTCTAGCCAAATCTTGAGCTAGATCTTCAAATTCCCAAGTCTTGAGCCCAAATTACACAAGTCTCTCCCTTTCTCTCTCTACAACCGGCCCTCTCTTCTCTTCTTTGAGTTTAATATCAGTCAAAATGAGACTAGGGAGGGAGAGATTGAGTGTTTAAAGCTTGACAACAAAATCCACTAAGGCCAAGATTATAATAATAGAATAGTTGGGCTCTAATTCATCAATTTAATCGGTTTAATCTAACCCAAATCAATTTTCAATTAAATTTCACCGTAGGCTCTAAAAATTATGCCTATCACAATGGCGTAATCAATTTCGGGTTCCGTGGCCGATAAGGCCTCCAATTTAATTTCCGAAGCGGTAAAATCAAACAGATATTCCTACGGTGAACAGATAGAAACTCAAAACCACATATTTTCACATAATGGCATACAAAACCATAACAAACACATAATCGTATACACATTAAGGACCAATTAGCATAATACAGAATATGGGTGTCACAAACCATGTCATCTGTGGTTCTAGTTTTGGGAAGTGAAGGTGCATTGTCCCATCCCAAATAGCCTGGTTTTTTTGGTTGAAAAGAATCTAACTGAAACTGATAATTCTTCTGGCAGAGATGCACCTACTCCAACCAATGAATTCACTATTACAATACTAAAGCCTCGATGACATAAATATGTATGTATATCTTTACGGAATTGCTTTATTCTGATGTATTGTATATTGGAGACTCCTTGGTACAGAAGCCAGTGGTATTGTTTACGAGGCTCTAGTTTTTTTTTTTTAAAAAAAAAAAAATTGGCATTGGCCGCCAGCATTGGAAGAAATAGTGTTAAGACTTAGTTTTGGTAATCCCATAATTTATTTCAGTGTTAATCATGTTTCTATTTGAAATTGTATTTAACATAGTTCATGTCATATTCTTGTGTGTGTGAATCCCTCTCATGGACCTAAGCTGCAACTTAGAGCTAATGTGATTTAACAGGCTGAAGATGATCTACGGTGTTTTGAATCATTAAACTTGTGTGTGTCTCCATTAGTTATTTAGATCTAGTTTTGATTTGTTGCCTTGCTTTGTTGGATTGGTATTTGGTTGAATTGATCATCAAGTATTTAATGTTTTGACTAAAAGGTCACCATTTAATAAAAAAGAGAATTTCAAAGAGAAAGCAAAAGAAAGAACAGAGGACATGAGACAACCGGTGCACAGTTTATAGGAACAACCAATGGCTAAATCAGAATGTTTACAGAGGATGTGGATCATGAGAAGATAATCCAAATACAGTTAGCCCAAGGTAATAAAATAGTCCACATTGCTGTGGCTTTCAGAGAAATGCAACTATATCATGTTATACAAGGGTTCTTGGCCCTGTCCCTTATCTCCTGTTTCAAATTCTCTCTCTACCACACGATTATATTACAATCAATTCCTAGAGAATGCGACTATCGAGGTTGCATTGTTGTAATGGTAAGTTCATTGACTGAACATGGTGCATACTTGCTGGATGAACCATCAGTTTCAGTAAAAAAGCCAGGTTTTTTAGGCCATGGCAATTCACCTTCACTTCCCAACATCATAACCACAGACGACATGGTTGGCCTATCTTCTGGATGTTGTTGCACACACAATAGACCCACATGGATTGATCGCAACACTTCAGCTAGACAATATGAGTCCCTTACAAACCCATCAACAAGTTCCATTGACTTGCTTTCTTCATATAGTCTCCATGCCTGGACAATTCACAACAATTGGTATTAACACCTTTAGTTTTTAACACACAAGCAAATATTTCCATACTTCATACTTACATGCCCAAGGAGGTTGAAATGGTGATCTGGATGAACGATGCCTCTATTTCGTGTCCCGCACACAATCTCCAACACCATAACACCAAAACTAAAAACATCTGATTTTATTGAAAAAAGCCCATCCACCGCGTATTCTGGAGACATGTAGCCACTATAACAAAGCATTGAGTTATGAAACATATTTTAGGACAATTAATGTAGGTGAATTATTATTTAGGACATGTTAAGAGATATCCTTACTATGTGCCAACCACTCTATTCGTATTTCCTTCTGTCTCATTTCCTCCAAAAATTCTAGCCATGCCAAAATCTGATATTTTTGGGTTCATGTCGATATCTAGCAAAATATTGCTAGCTTTAAGATCTCTATGAATGATTCTCAATCTGGAATCTTGATGAAGATATAGAAGTCCACGCGCAATTCCATTAATAATGTGAAAACGCTTAGGCCAGTCCATGAATGTTCTTCCGCCTTCATCTACACAAAGTTTCATATGAGTCAATCCATACTCGGGTGAAACGAATTTAACAAGAAAAGGTTTCGTAACAAAAATTCAAAAGAATTTTGAGAGCCAAACCAAAAATAAACAAGTCTAGGCTCTTGTTAGGCATGAATTCATAGATTAACATCTTTTCTTCTCTTTGTATGCAACAACCCAGAAGCTTCACGAGATTTCGGTGTTGAAGTTTGGCAATACAGATGACTTCGTTCTTGAACTCATCAAGTCCTTGATCAGAATATTTTGAGAGCCGCTTAACTGCTATTTCTTGTCCTCCTTCCAACCTACCCTGAAAATTACCAATTTGTTAATTAAAAAATATTCTTGAAACTTATGGATTGGGTGACACCTACATTCTAACTAAATGAGGGTATTTAAATTGCAACCTTGTAAACAGGTCCGTATCCACCCTCTCCAAGTTTATTGTCAATTGAGAAGTTATTTGTAGAACTAGCTATCGTAGCAAAGTCAAACAATGGTAACTCCATATCTTCCTTCTGGTTTTTTTCAGTGGAACCTTGTTTGGAGTTGTGTACCGGCCTTCCTGCAAAGTAGTTGATTTGAGTTTAAACGAGACAGCTAACAAAGCAATACATTTTATGAGTTCATTTTTTTTGTCTTTTTTGTGATCCAAGTTAACAAAAAGACACAGAATCCATTCACAAAATAGATCACAGGACAAGGACGAGAGAGCAAATAGACACTCATTTGGATTACCTTCTATCTTCAACTGTGAATCCTGCTTCTTCTTCTTCTTCTTCTTCTTCTTCTTCTTCTTCTTCTTCTTATTCTTCCGGATATACAACATTATGCTCAGACCCAGCAGAAGCATTCCAGTGAATAATGTCAAGGTCACTATGACTATCTCTCTTTTCTTGCCATTGAAGCTGGCTTGATGGACTGTCAAGTCTACAACCATGAAACCACAAATTTGAAAGATTACTTGCTTATGCCTCAAGTACTACTATAGACTATTGGACTCCAAAAACACTTGAACTCTTTTTTTGTCAATATGTAATTAGATAAACATTATAGAAACTGAGGAATTTCTTGAGCAAGTATGATATTCTGTACACTAATTACCCATATTTTCTTGCATTAATAAACTATCAGTTGCTATAAGTTTCATTAAATAGTGAGCAATTAAGTAACAAATGCAATCAAATAATTTCTTGAGCAAGTATGATATTCTGTACACTAATTACCCATATTTTCTTGCATTAATAAACTATCAGTTGCTATAAGTTTCATTAAATAGTGAGCAATTAAGTAACAAATGCAATCAAATTTCAACTATAATGTAAAAACAGCAATGCTAGGTATCATGAAAAATCTTTCATGAAAATGATCATGAAAGATTTATGACCTTTAGATTACACTTAGAATAAAGCACCACACACTAATCAAGGTAATCTAAAGATCACAAATCTTTCATGATCATTTTCATGAGAGACTTTTCATGATCCCTAACATTTCTCATGTAAAAATAACTCATTTGTGTTTCGGGTTTGTATGAATGCTTACCCAACTCAGAGGAAGCCATCCTTACGTAAATGTCTTGCCCGCCACCTTCATTGAACAGTCTAATATCAACCAATTCATCAAACCAAAGCAAACACCCACTCCCACCTCCTCTTATGTCCAAACTAGTATAAGCCATACAAGAACAGTTCTTCAAGCACACCTCTCTGCATTCCCCAAGCGTCATCGTCCTATTGTACCACGAACTCCGCGTATCAGGCAATTTCACCCCTGAATACTGCAAAAACCCATCTCCATTCTTGCAATCCAACACCGTCCTCCGAACACACCCTCCCGACCAATTCGTCATGTTCCAATCTTTCAGGTTTTTAGGCACAAATTTACTCAAACACCCGCAAACAGGGGATTTATCGCCATCACAGCTACCATAAGCACCACACAAATTATAACTATTACAACTAACAGTTGTTGGTGCATTCACATAAAGCACCCAACCTTTTTTTTGGTTAATCCATGTCCATCTCTGTGCAAAACCATTGGGAGTCAAGATAAACCTGGAAGCAACAGAGCTGTTAAGGAGATCATACCTGTAGTAAATCTCATCCTTTTCAAAATACATTCCAAATTTGAAAATTGGATTCTTGGTCAGTACAGTCCCAGTGCCGGTGAACCGGAGACCATTCCAAGGTCCGGCTCGGAACAACACAACCGAGCCTTTGCTGACGAAGATTTGTGGGTATCCACGAAGATCTAACCAGTAAGTGTAATCACCTTGAGCTGGGTCATCTTTGCTCTTCCACGAAGACATGTGCCATTCTCGACCTGTAACCAAGTTCTTCCCAATTTTCATGCCCGGTAACAGAGTATCACAAGGGTAATCGAAGCTCTGCCAGAGAAAATTTTCTGGGTTGTGATCGTTTGGGTCTTGGATGATAAGATTTCCCGAATCGAGAAGTCTGGCAACTGGGTTGCGTGTAGATCGAGAGGTGTTGGTGGACCATACGGTGTTGTTGGTGGAACTGAGAAGGACGAGGATTCCTGGGTCGATGAGTTTCAAGACACCAGAGGAATTGGGAAGTGGGTTGTCTCTGTTGGCAACCCATACAATGGTCCCTGAGGCTATCTTCTTGTACCATATTGCTATGTACCAGTTCTTGGAATTGCCTGGGGTGAAAAACCCCATTTCGAAGCTTTCGCTCGGTGAAACTATGGTGTTGTTAAATGTGATGAACTGAGTTTTGGTTATGGTGTCAAGTGCTTTGGAGGTTGTTATGATGGAAAATAAAGAGTAGAGGAAAAAAAGCGGTATGGTGAAACCTTCCATTGATTTCTTCTTGCATTTCACAGGGAGGAACGAAGATGATGATAGAATGGTGAACGGAGTAAAGCAAGTCGTCACCACTTTTGTCGTTTAAGATTGATAGTCAGGAAATAAGGAAAATGAGTGAGAGCACTAATTAGTGCTATCACTAATGATGTAGCAGTGGGCCTCACCAGGAATGATTTGATGTTTTGGCTTTGGTGTTGTATTTTTTTTCTTTTTTTATTGAGTACCATGTCATTAGTGGTCTTTTTAGAACTCCAAAATTAGTAGTCTCTATCATTGTTGAGGAAATAATTATCCCACAGGCGTTGACCCAAAGTCTTGTCCATGCACTTGCCCTTGCGATAATGGAAATGATCAACGCAATCAATGCTTTACAAGTCTGGTTAACAACTACATCTTACCTAATAAGTTGACAACTCACGAGCTGTTGAGTGGGAAAGGCTCGAAGGCGAACATCACTTTGAATTGGTAATACGGCGTTTGGTTAATGGATTTGGACGGGAGACGACTGGTTAGGCCGTGAAATTTATCGATATTTAAAGTATTTATTTATAAAAAAAAATGAGATTTATTCGATAATGGTAACTTATTCGATTTATTATTTTTGTCATTAAAAAAATATATGGTTCGCTTTTTGAAAACATAATTGTCGGCATTTTTTTAATGAAAATTTTGATAAATTAAACAAATTATAATTGTCAGATCGATATAATTTTTTTGTGAATAAAATATGCAAAATATCCAACAAAATAAACGATTTGAATTATTAAAACAAAATCCATGACGAATTTCGTGGGCTCAAACAGCCCCCTCCATCCTCCTCCTCGGTTTAATATCCACGCTATAAGCGACTAGTGAATATCGATGGAGAGAGAGGATACAAAATAATAAAAAAAATTAAGAAATAGTTGGGAATAATTAGTTAAATTAAAATTTTAATAACATTCTATTAATCCATCTTTATAATCGTGAGTCATTCTAAATATGGAATAAGATATAAAATTTAAAAATATTGATAATTTAGAATTTACAATAATATGATAAGAATTTTAATCTCATATAATGTAATTTGTCTGTGAATTTGATGATTTAGTTTAGTTTATTAGACTTTTGATGATCCATTTTATTAAATTTTAAAGTTGGGTGCATAAATCATCAATAATAAAATAAATAACTTAATTTAACAATTACAATCATACAATTTTAATATTTAAAATAGATAAATTATTTATTTTTAAAATTATGGTTACGGTCAATTTTTCAATGAGTCACATGATGATGGAGTGTGAGTGGTGAGTCGGCGATGACGTGGCTGTGAAGAAAATGGTGATAATTAAGGAATGTGAAGTAAATTGTTAAAATAATATGATAATTAAAAAAAATTATTATAATTAAAAAAAATACATAATTAAGAGTATATAATAAGGAGGATTTATTTGAAAATACTCCTAATAAAATAGTCTACTCTGAACGAGATCACCTGAAAATGCATTGCAGCTATCATTAAGGTTTATTTTGACAATTAAAAAAAAATTAATTTATTGACTTATTTAGATTATATAATCTCTTTATTTTTTCTAAAAAAAGGTAAAAAAAAATTTCTACTTCCGCAAACAAGCCTAAGGGTTCGTTTGACAATATTTTTTTAGTTGATTTTTTTGACTTTTTTAGCTTAGAACTTTTCTGTTTGTTTGATTTTCTTGTTTGGTTTTTTGGCTTTGGAATGATAATTTTTTTTTATTCTTTTGTGGACTTTTTGATTTTTTGACCTTTTTTTTAATCATTTTTTGATTTTTTAGCCCAAAAGGAAAACCAAATCGGGGCTAAAGGGTTGGTTTGGGATGTTCTAAAAAAGTGTACTTTTTGACTTATTGGCTTATATGGGTTGGATTTGATGTGATGTGTTAGAAAGGTAATGTGATTTAAATAAGATGATGTGACTTAAATAAGATAGTGACTTTTTGACTTTTTGTATTATTTAAGTTATAAGTTATGCAAATGATCCTTATAGTTTATATAATGTATTAATTTGGTCTATATTATTTTAATTTGTTCGATTTTGTTCTTTAATTTAACAGATTATGTCATATTGGTCCAATAGATAATAACCGTTAGGTTTGGTGGACAGAAAGTTGTCGCATGCTCAAACAATGTATCAATTTATTCTTTATAGTTTACACGATGTGTCAATTTGATTTTTATTGTTTTAATTTGCTCGATTTTGATAGGAATCAAATTGACACATCGTGTAAATTATAGAGATTAAATTAACATATCATTTGAATTTCTGTATACCAAACCCAACGGCCATTATTTATTAGATTATTATGACACAATCTATTAAAATAAAGACAAAATTAAACAAAGTAAAATAATAAAGATCAAATTAATAAATCATGTAAATTATCGAGACTATTTACATAATTTGCATTATAAAATTATAACTTTACTATTGGAAGATGAGTTTGTGGCTTTTTTTTAGTTATTTTAATCACAAAAGACAAAATAATTTATTTCAATCATAACAAATAAAACAACACATTTAACTCCTAATTATTACACTTTTTTCTATAAAAAAAAACTTAAAAAGTTAAAAAAATCTTTTCAAACTAAATTTTTTATTTCAAATTAAAATAATTAAAAAAACGTTAAAAAGTTAACTAAATTCCAAAACGAAGGCAGAGTCGAGTCAACTAGATTGCGACATGTCATCAATTTGACAATTTCTCGGTGGAAGTTAGTAGTCTTAAAATATTGCTCCATATTATTTATTGAGACATTTATTTAATTATTTCTTAAAAAAGTAAAAAAAAAAATAGTGAATTTGAATATTTCAATCAATAAAAATCAAATTAAAACATATATTTAAAAATAATTTTCCCTAGATGAAGCCAAGTATGCCTATCAGAAAACGTCGCTTATCTCAACCTAAGCATAGGGGAATTTTATAATGAAAAATGGTAGTGTTCGTTTAGGAAGATGATTTGTGACTAAAATAGTTGTAAAAGGTAAAATAGATTTTTTTAGTCATAACAAATAAAATATCACATTCAATTCATAATCATTACATTCTTTTCTCACCAAAAAAAATCAAAAAATCAAAAAGTCTTTTCCATACTAAGCTTTTTAGTTCAGGCTAAAATAGTTTAAAAAAATCAAAAAAGTCAAAAAGTCAACTTACTTCCTAAACCAACCCTAAGGCCATGTTTGTTTGGGCGGACTGGATTAGCATTCCCATGACTAAGAGTCCTAGGACTACGAATTCGTTGGATTATGTGTCCTATCTTAACTAATAGTCAAGTTTAAAATAATTAGTCCGTACCTCAATTGTTTAACCAAATATCGGATTAATAATTTTATTGGACTATTAGTCCAATCCCAAGCTCATGTCCACCCAAACAAACATGGCCTAAGAGTATTAAAAGTGGTGCTCTAATAGCACCATTAATGATGTAACAGTGGGCCACCCACTGCCTATGCCTTATTTTTTTTTTATTTTTTATTTTTTTTGGCATTCTCAATATACATTAGTGTTATTGGTGGTCTTTTTTTTAGTGGTATGAATCATTGTTGTTTTACAATATATAAGGTATGTTTGGTTTGGTTTTGAGAGAGTAGTTTTTAAAAATTGTTTTGGGGAGAGAATTTTTTTTTTTTTTTTTTTTGCCTAGAAGCTTGTCCCGACCTCCCAAGGCAAGCTCCGATTAAGTCAGGACTCGCACAGTGGGGGAGCATTAAACCCACACCAAGTAGCTGATTATGCATCCTTGAGGTCCAACCTTGTCCGTTCCGAGTAAGAGACTATAACCTGGAAGCTTGTCTCGACCTCCCAAGGCAAGCTCCGATTAAGTCAGGACTCGCACAGTGGGGGAGCATTAAACCCACACCAAGTAGCTGATTATGCATCCTTGAGGTCCAACCTCCTAACCAACAGTGCTTCGCCCAGGAGATTGGCCCAAGGGGGGAATTGAACTTGTGACCTTAGGGCTTAAACCCCAAGGCTTTACCACAATGCCACAACCCCTTTGGTTTGTTTGGTTGTGTATTTTGAAAGTAGTTTTGGAGTTTGGGAGTTTGAAATGATTTGATATTTTGTTATAATTGAGTAAATGTATGTGAGAGAAAAAGTGATTGATTGATGTGTAAGAAAGAGAAAGTGATTTTAGAAATTGTTCTGGAAAAATTACAAACCGAACAAATTTTTAAATTTTTTTTTTCCAAAATCACTCTACAAAGTCAAACCAAACATACCCATATTTTTTATCATATGTTCTCTTAGTTATGTCATTTTTTTCTTTAGTTATAATTAATTTTTTTTTTAGTTATGATATTATTTTGATATATTTGATATTTAGTTATGACTTTTTTTTATTTAGGGGTTGTTTGGGATATCCTAAATAAGTGCACTTTTTGACTTTTTTAGACTAAAAAATTGAAGAAAAAATATGGCTGTTTAGGCTAACTTTTTTTACTTTTTATGGGAAAATATGTATTAAGAAATTGTATAAATTAGTGTGTAGGAAAAAATTAGGATTGGGAGTTGTGCAGCCGTAGTTTTTGAATTTTTGTGAATAGTGATAACTTTTTAACTTTTTGACTTTTTGGGCACATGCTAAACTTGGCCTAAATTTGATGGAAAAAAAAATAAAGGATTAAAAATGTTCTTACAAGAGAGGCTATCTCGGCACATTTTCTCCTCTATTTTCTATTTATATGGCTTCTCTCTACTTTTTGCACAGCTTTTCGTAATTAGTCAAAAAGTCATCCCAAACATACAAGTTTTTTTTACCTACTTTTTTAGCTAATTAGCCAAAAAGTTACTAAATTAGCCTGTTCCCAAACGAGGCCTAATTTTTTAACTTTTTGAGCGCATGCCAAACTTGGCCTTATTTTTAGTTATAACTCAAAAAATATAAAATTATATCATTTTTTTAGTTATAAAGTATATATGGTACACACTTTTTAAGAAGGTGTGTACCATAATTTTTCTCATTTTATTAACTTTTTAATGTTTTAACTAAAAAAAAAAAACTAATGTTTGAATGATTTTTTATTTTTTGCAAAAAAAAAAATCATACAATAAATATGAAGAAAATAAAATCTTTAATTTTTTATATACTTCTTTAAAAATTTAAATATTTTTAATAAATTTTTAACTTTCCAGTTACAAACTCGATGTGCCAAACGATGCCAAGTCATAGCCAAAAACATAGAAAGCTAGGGTAACTTATGATGATTGTATTCACCCAAAAAAAACTTATGATGTATGTATACTTTTGGGTTGACTGCAACAACATTAACATCTTATGACAGCCTGAGATACTTTATGAAACATCTTCCACAACTTTATTACAGTACTAGCCGTTTTGTCAATTACTTTTTCTAGCAATTTATTTTTACTTTTTCTTTTTTCTTTT